ACCAAGCCGGATAACGGGGGCTGCCATTGTAAACAACAGCATCTTCTGTAGGTGCTGCTCGAGCCAACATGTTCGGTCTGATAAAAGGATAGCATCCCACACCCACAGAGGCCGACCCATAAGAGCGAAAAGCAATACATGATCCCATATCTACCACAAGGCCACTGAGTAACAGTCTAACTTCCAACGGCTAAGGCAGTAATCCTCAAATGCAATTGATAGGGCCATGATAGGGCTGACCACACTGTCGCAAATGAATCATAGCTGCCAACCATGCTTTACACAAAAGAGTAAGGCACCATCCCGTTCTACCCATAGCAAATAAACATCCGCCATATCAGTAGTAGCTGCCATCAAGCGACCTTCTTGGGTAGGCGTCATCAGAGAGACACATCATGCACTGCAACAAATAAATCCGGTCTTGATGAAATAGCACACACGAGAATATTCACTTGTAAGAGAACGTCCAAGGTATCCATACAAGTACTTGAGGAATGAGATCCGCCATGGCACCGATAAAAACATTGCTCTGAAAATCCACCGATAAAGAGACGACTTGCAGGTAGCTGATTTCCAAACCATGGAAACGGTATCCTTGACAACCACAACTATAAGATAGAGATCGCTTGCTTGCTTGTGAGACACCCACCCAATTCAAATGTTGATCTTCGTCTTCCAATTCAATAGGATTCGCCATTGACAGCTGTAAGGAGAGACTTTGATGGCACCAAAGAGCATGCGAAATTATAGCTTGATGGAATGATGGGCCTATAAAACTGCATATCACTAACTTATCTTTTAGGTAATGGTAGCAATACTTAGCCAGTGTCATATGAGAATCCACGATGTTAGATGCCACCCAGTAATCAGAACACATTTCCTTGCTGTAGAGACGTCGACACAGTGACCAATTCTGATAGCCGTTTCTCCAAGCGATACTTGATGATGAATGCCATGAGAGATGGATACACCTTGACAGCACCAAAAGGACACGTAACATTGTTGTTTGTTGCTGATGTGATACATCCATAAGATACGTGCGGTGAAGAGGGCTCTTGAAATAATTTGCCAATAACGAGAACCACCAGAGGATCAAATAAATGTTGCTGACACTAAAGACGTGGGCTCTGTTGTTCATTGCTGCTTCTTCCTTGTAGCTGATATGATCCACCAATAACAGGCATGCATAGCAGGATATCCATTGAAAGGGTTGTCAACAACTAGGACCACAATAAGACGAGATAAAACTTGGCGACACCAAAAGGTATAGAACTTGTTGCCTTGCCGCTGCAGATGCTTATAAAAGGAAGTGTCCAATAGGTGGCCTAGTAACGAAAACCATCGAACGATGTAATAAGGCAAGCTGACACTGAAGGATGCTGTCGACGTTGCTCTTTGACCCTGACATGATTCGCTTATAAAAGATGCACGGTAAACAGTTTCCCGAACCCATAGAACGATACTTAGCAATGATAGCTGCATCCACGAATATTCCAAAGGACCAAAATACAAGTAGCTTGCTGAATAGCACACATACTATAATAAAAGAGGGGGTTGGTTGGGTTGGAGCCAAAAAACGGGTCATCCACTATTTACCAATGAAAGCCATATGAATAAAACCTTGTCGACATCCAATGATAGCTGCATCCATCAAGAATCCAAAGGGAACAAGACAAGTAGCTCGCTGAATAACTCACATGAAAGAGGGTGTTAGTAGGCAATGAAAGAAAGAATGGATCATTATTTACCAATGACAGCTGCATCCATAGAAATCCCAATGCACCAGAAGACAAGTAGCTTGCTGAATAGCCCACATACTATAATAAAAGAGGAGGTTGGCAGGCGTTGAAGAAGAGAACGGATCATCATTTACCAATGATAGCCATACGCACGAAAACATGTAGGCATCCGATGGCAGCTGCATCCATAGAAATCCCAATGCACCAGAAGACATGCAGCTTGCTGAATATCCCACATACTATAATAATAGAAGAGGAGGTTGATTGGGATTGGAGCCAAAACACGGATCATCCACTATTTACCACTGATAGCCATATGTACGAAAACATGTTGGCATCCAATGACAGCTGCATCCATGAAACCCAAAGAACCAGAAGACAAGTAGCTTGCTGAATAGTCCCCACACTATAATAAAAGAGGAGGTTGGTTGGGATTGGAGCCAAAACACGGATCATCCCATATTTACCAATGATAGCCATACGCACGAAAACAGGTTGATATCAATGACAGCTGCATCCATGAAAACCCCAAATGACCACGAGACAAGTAGCTTGCTGAATAATCCGCACACTATAGTAAAAGAGGATGTTGGTAGGCATTGTAGAAAAGAACGGATCATCATTTACCAATGATAGTCATATGCACGCAATCCTGATGATATCCAAATCCAGCCGGTTCTTTGCAATCGTCCGCTTGTTGATAAGGCCCGCTACGGTGGTACTCGGCTTGAAAGCGATGGAACGATACTTTATGGGCATATGCAGTGAGAAGGTTGAGTAATATTGATACCACCAAAGATAGCATACTTACATGATGCCGAAGAGCCCTTACAAAGAGAGACAACGAGACAATCCTTGCTGCCCAAGACCACATGCAAATCGAGAAAGCATTGTGCATCGAAAAGCCCAAACCAGATCCTAGCTGCGGAGTGACGTACATATGGCTAAAGAGCGATGTGAATGGCAATCGTTTTTCATTGGAAATCGAATGCAGCTTGACGATGAATGCCTTGAGGAGATGCATGAATGACCTTGGCAACACCAAAGATGTCAACGCGGGTTCTCATTGCTTGTTGATGACATGATCCATCCATAAGACATGTATAGTTGTAGAGATCCATCAAAGGAATCGCCAATAACCAGAACCACCAAGAGATAGAAAGGTTGCTGATATCAAAGATATACAAGTTGTTCCTTGCTGCTGACATGATGATCGATCGATAAGAGACCTTTGTTTCTGGAGGTTCATCAAATTGCAGGTAATGGGAAGCACCAGATGATGGGATGAGGGTTGATATAGCACCAAAGATATGCATGCTGTTGTTTGTTGCTGATACAACCCACTCACAAGAGACTTGCATTGGCTGACATGCTCCAGAGAAATCGCCCGTTGTTTGGTAACCAACCACCCGAGACGCAATAAAGGTTGACACCACCAAAGACATACACACTTCCCCATGGCTGACATGATTCACCTATAAAAGATGCACCATAAACAATTGTCCAAACTCATCCAACAATACTTAGCAATCATAGCTGTGATCTTGTAAACTCCAAAGCATCAAAAGACAAGCAGCTCTCTGCAATGGTCCCTCTAAATAATGGTAGGCGTTTCAGCAAAGGTCTCCAAAAAGCATGAGAGTCATACATACCTGAATCACGCAATCATCACCCGCAGACTTGGGAACCAAATAGGCCATCAGGATGTAAGGTAATAATAAAAGCGCACAGCCAAAGAAACATCAAAGTACCAGCACTCTCCTGTGGATCGACGCGATGAAGTACATCAATAGAGATACCATCTTCTCTCTAAAGGCAAGGAGATCAATAGCCGTAAAACGATGGAGCCGTGCGAACAGAGGATGCATTTTTAAACCCCTGAGGCCGCAACATGAGTCGCACTGTCCCCGGGCACAACATGTAGAGCTCCATAGGAAAGTACAGTACAATGACGTCCTTGACGTGCAGCCCTGATTATAATAGTATCTGAGATATTACGTATAAAAAGAAGATGATAGAGAAAGTGAAAGTACGTTGAGAATCAATATACTGTATTCAACTGCTGTTGCCAGCTACAACTACAACATGTCTTATATAGGTTTCTAGGATGGTTGTGTGGCGATGCTAAAGGGAGATGGCGTTTACATAAGAAGATGTTGGGATACACGAGATGACGGGGCTCATTGAGTGATGAACCTTGAGTGTGGATATGGAAACGTTACATTCGGTGTCCTCTTGCGGGATGAGTGTGGTCGTTGTGATACCTTGGCTTGTCACCTTGTACTTGATGATGGTATTGGTACTTGAAATACGACAGTATCGCCGAAAGAGGCTCTGCCACTGTATGGTGTTTGGTAAGTCCACTTGAATCCAATCAATCCCACAATGAACAGTCTTACCTTGTGGTATTCCCAATACCATTGTCGCTGCAAATAACCTGGTATTCATCCGATCCAGTAGATGCTGCTGCTGTTTCATTGTAAGTCTCGTTAATTAACAGGTTTTGCTTTGTAGATCCAATACCACGCATACCATTGAGCCAACCATGCAGCATTCTTGCTTTGAGATCCGTATCCTGTTGCTGCCAGAGGTACCATCATCCAACATGTTCACCTACCATAAACGCAATGTGAGATAAGAAGCAAACCCAACCCACACGCTTTTGTTGTCAGCATACCCAAGAGGCAATGTGAAGACGTCTTGAGAACTCTCATTGTGGACAACCCGGTAAGGAAGACACACGACGCCGTGAACCATGGTGATCACAGGGAATTGCAACCAAATACACCATCCGAAGGCAATACAATAATCAACCTGCAGCGCCAAGGTATGCCAC